CTCTGGTGAATTCTCTCACGCTCCCACGCTTCTGACTGTACCCAGTGCATGTATAAATAAATTAAAAAAAAAAACTTTTAAAAAAAAAAAGACAAAGAAAAGAAAGAGAGAAAAGGAGAAAAGAGAGAGAGAGAAAGAAGGAAGGAAGGAAGGAAGGAAGGAAGGAAGGAAGGAAGGAAGGAAGGAAGGAAGGAAGGAAGGGAGGGAGGGAGGGAGGGAGGGAGGGAGGGAGGGAGGGAGGGAGGGAGGGAGGGAGGGAGGGAGGGAGGGAGGGAGGGAAAAAGGAAAGAAAATAACAAGTGCTGGTGAAGATGTAGAAAATTAGAACCTTTATGCATTGTTGGTGGGAATGTAAAATGGTGCAGTCACTTTGGAAAACAGTGAGTGTGGCCGTTCCTCAAAAAATGAAACATAGAAATACTATATCATCCAGCAAAAGCTTGCTCAAACAGACTAAGATAAACATCAAGAAATGGGATTGCTGGATGATAGTTCTGACAGTTCTAGAGGCTGGGTGCCTGGGAATAGGGTGCCAGCTTGGTTGGGTTCTGGTAAGAGCCCTCTTCTGGGTTGCAGACCACTGACTTCTCCATGCATGTCACACAGCTCAGAGAAGAGAGCTAAGAAGCATTCTGGCCTCTTCTAAGGGCACTAATTCCATGCATGAGGATGCCACCCTTATGGCCTAATGACCACCCAGAGATCCCACCCTCAAATAATATCACATTCATATTTAGGGTTTTAACAATGAAGTTGGAGTACACAACCATTCAGTCCATAGAAGTAAATCCACCACAATTAAAAATAGGATGTCAAAGAGATGTTTGTCTATCATGGTCACGTCAACATTATTATAGTAGCTGAAGTGGAAGCAAAGTAAATGTTTGTTGAAGGACGAATGGGTAAATGAAATGTGGTACACACAAATAATAAGTGTTATTCAGCCTTCAAAAAAAGGGGGTGGAGGAAATCTTGTCATAAGTTACAACATGGATGAACTTTTAGGAAATGATGCTCAATGAAATAAGTCAGCCACAAAGACATATATAGCATGAACTTCATATACATATATGAAGTTCCTAAAGTAGTGAAACATAGAAAGTAGAATGTGGTTTCCATGGGTTGAGGGGAGGAAATTGTTCAGTGGGTATAGAGTTTCAGTTACACAAGATAAAAAATTTCTAGAGCTCTGTTGTATAGCTATATACAGAGAGCTAATATTATTCCTGCACTATATACTTACAAATGGTTAAGATGGCAAAGTTTATATGTTTCTTACCAGAATAAAAAAGGAAAAAAAAACCCAGTAATCTCTAAATTTAAAAAAAAAAAAAAGGAGGGAGTCCTACTACCCTAACCCAATTTTTGGTTCTTGTCAACATTTCTTCCTTGCAATCAATCACAGTACACCAATACCACTGTATACTTCAAGGGAAGAAATACTCTATCATTTTGTCATTGTAAAAATTATAATGCTCATTGTAAAAAATATAAATGGGGCCTCGCCTGGTGGCACAGCGGTTGAGCGCTGGGCTGCGAAGCTGCCCACAGCCTCTGCAGCGCCAGTTCAATCCCTGGCCACTGGCGAGGGTCCCACATGGCGTGATAGACCTCTCCTGCCGTGCCCGCTGCTCCCCTCAGCAGTGTATTTCGTCAGTCTGCCAGTTCTGTTCCCCGCTCTGCCTCTGGTGAACTCTCTCACCCTCTCGCGCTTCTGGACTGTACCCAGTGCTTGTATAAATAAATAAATAAATCTTTTTTTAAAAATATATATATATAAACGATAGAGGCATGTAAAAATAAAAGCCCCCTTCAGCACACCCCACTGCTTGGACATGACTGCTGGTGATCAGCTATGTCTTCTTACAACTCTTCTATCTGCTCATACAGGCTTTCACAGAAACATGCCTTGTAACTTTCTTTCTTGTGTTATGTGTGATTAAATTCACTTAATCGCAATTTTTCAAAACTACAACAATGCATACTGTTGCAATAAGGTCCCAGAAAGATGAGGACCAAGGAAGTGCTGCCTGGCATTCTTGACACCACCAGCAGAGCCATGAAATGATCCAGAACAACAGGAATCCCTTCCTCAGACTCTTGTGCAGAGAAGGAAGGATTCATAATCCTCATATGCAGAACTCCATGAAATGAAAATCAATCCATAGAAAATTAGGCAAAGAAATTGCAGCTACCAAGGGTGGGGGAAAGGGTGGTGACAAAAAGGGTGGTCAAAAAGCTACAAATTTCCACCATAAGTCCTGGGGATATGTCAGCATACGGTGACTATAGTTGACAAATACTGTTTTGTTTATTTGCAAGATGTTAAGTGAGTTGATCTTAGAAGTTGTCAAAGAAAAAAAATTAACTATATGTGGTGATAGATGTTAACTAAATGGATGTCACTCACTGTGGCAATCATTTTGCAATATATACATCTATCAAGTCATGTTGTACACCTTAAATGTATACAATGTTATATGTCAATTAAGCTCAATAAAACTGGGTGGAAAAGACAAAATGGGCAAAACCACTGCTTTTCTTTAGATTCATACAAACATAATCAACATAATTGCCCTGGTAAAGATTTGAAGGCTGCATTGGTCTCGACCTCTCTCTTAGTCTCTCTCGGTACCCCTCCAACCACCCCCTTTTTCTCCCCCTCCCCATCCTACAACACAAAGTAGGATCCTATCTTACACACACGGCACAACTGTCCTATTTTTGCCTAGCAGAGTATCCCATTAGTCACTGCACAAAGACTTATGAACTCACTCTCAGTAGTCCAGAGTTCCCAGTATGTATGTAACCAAAGGTATCCACTCAGCCCCCAGACCCCTAGAGGCAGACACTGCCATTGTCACTATGAAGAACACTACATTAAAACAAACAAAACCCCACCTTTTTATAGATAGATTTCATAGACAAAGTTGAAAGTGGGATCGGTGGGGTAATGGGCATATCCATTTCTATTTTAGTAGTTAGTGCTTGGTGGGGAAATGTTTTTATTTTTGTTCGTATAAACCCCAATTCTAAAGGACATGAACTCTTTTATCTTATTCAAATAGTTCTCCCCATCTACTATCTTATTCAAATAGTTCTCCCCATCTACTGTCCTAGACTTATTTATGGAGTACCATACCATGTAGACATTTAAGTATCATATATGATCTAATCTGGCTTTTCCTTTATAGCTCCGTATTCCTGGCTTGCCTGAGACAATCCCCTCCCCAGCCCCAAGACTATATAAGAATTTCCCTAAATATTCATCTTTTGTTTTCACTTCTCATTTTTCATATTTATGCCATGTATCTGAATAGATATAGCACTCCTTGCCCTGTGGAACTCCTACAAAATAACTGATACGCTAATTTATTTAACTTGGAATATTTTTGGATACTGAAGTTGTTTCTAGTTTTAAATACTATTTAATAATAATAATAATAGCTACCAATTATTGAGTATTTTTTCATACCAGATATAGACCTAAGTTCATCACACTTAACAATAGCAATAGCCTACAGAGTGGGTTCTAGTAGCTGTTCTAAAAGAGGCAAGACATCTTGTCAAGTTCAGACAGCTGGGAAAAAAACGGTGAGTCAAAGATTCTGATCCAATGCAAGGTGGCAGGACTAAAAGATTCCCAGTATTTACAAATGACTTGAAATATCCTATACTTTCATATCTGCAGGGAAAGATTAAAGGAGAGAAATACGCATTTCTTAATTCTTCCTCTACCCTAAACCTATACTAGACACTTTCACTGTTCGTCTTCTGGAATTCTTACAAAATACACTGAATAATGGGATTTTCTATTTTCCAGACATAAAAAGGGTAAGTCTTTGAGGTTAAGTCATTCACCCAAGGTTTGTAGGTGACAGTGGAGGATTCAAATCCAGTTCCATGAGATTCATGTATATCAATTTTTCACTTAGACACAACTCACTAACTTGCAAACAAGACATTGGTGAATCCACAGTTGTGTGTGTGTGTGTGTGTGTGTGTGTGTGTGTGTTGTTTTGCTGCTGAACTGTTTCCTTGGGATACATTCCCAGAGTGAGAGTATTGAGTCAAAGGGTATGAATAGTTGATGGCTTTCCATCTATACTGCCAAAATGTTATTACAAAGGCTGCACCCACATTCTCTACCATCAACATAGTGGGCAGCTTCTTGTTTTACAGATTCAAGTATTCAGGTGGGGAAACAGCCTCCAAGGGGTGCCACGCTTAGCACCCCCCTAAGCCCCAGCAGAAGCACTGTAAAGAGATCTGTGGACAAGCACACTGTCTCCCCAGACGGCGCTGACGGATAGTGTGTTTAGGGGTTGAAGGCTTTTGTTTTGCAGAACTTTGCCTCTCTTGTGAAATCATGTAAAACGTGACTAAGATGGGATTAGGCACACTTAGGCTTGTCTTTTAAGCAACGGACTAATCCAACAAAAACCCTTTGATGAGGTACCCCTTGGGGAAAGCACTCCCTGAAGCTTTGCTCTGCAGGGAGCAGCCGGGAGGAGGAGGCGCAGCCCTGGGAGGGTCGCCCAGGTTGGGGGCTTGGGCGAGGGCCCGGGCGCAGGCTCTCCTCCTCCCCGGCGCCCGCCGCAGGGCCCTAGCATGCTCTTGGGGGCGGCAGATAAGGCGGGAGCGGCGCGTCGCCACCGCGGCCCCGGCCCGGCGGGAAGAGGCCGCCGGCGGAGAGCAGATAACGTCCGGCCGGCGCTCGGGCCGCCGAGACTCAGCGACGCCGCGCCCGCGGGAGATAGAGGTCCCGGCCGGGCGCGGCTCCCGGTTCTCTGTTCTCCGCAGCCCCACGGCCCTGCCACCGAAAGGCCCCAGGTCAGCGCTGGGATGGCCCCAGCGACCTCAGACGAAAGTCTTTCCTTCACCTCAGCCCCCTCCTCTGGAAAACCAGGGCGCTGAAGAGTCGTTTATGACCTCTCAACCCGGGGCGTGTGGCCGGCCCTCTGCAGTGTCCCAGGGTAACAGGGTGCCCCCCCCACCCTCCCCCGCCCTGTAACACCAGGACCGCTCTGGTGCCGCGCTGGCCCAGCCTCAACAGAGGGTCCAGAACCCAGAAGCCACACTTCATTTTCCACTGCCCCACAAAGAGGGGCTTTTCCCCCTCAGGCTGGCAGAGAAATCTGTGAGTGTCATTTGCATTCTGCCTTTTCAAATTCCTCAAATTCCCCACATAAAATTCAGTTGGCTGCCAGACAGTGAGGGAGGAGGAAGGCTGGGAGAGGCTGCTCAGGGGCAGCCAGGAGCCATAAACTGGCCCCAGTTCTACAGGGAAACAACTCGGGGGCGGGTGGAAATTCACACACACACCTCCCTTTAATCATCCCACCGCCAAAATCAAACATCTTGAGACAACAACAAACTGGCCCTGACTTCTCTGCTTGGCATTCAAGGCCCTGCCCATCCTGGCACTGACCCCTCCTGTCCCTGCCAGGCCTTCATAGCACCCCTTCCATTGTACACACTTTGCCGGAGGCAAGACCTCACTCACCCCCTTGGCTCTTTAGCAATCCTAAAGCCTTCTTCTTTCTCCACCACCCACCTCCAATAAGAATTTAACTTTTCAAGACGCCTCTCTAAAAGATTTTCAAAGGGATTATTTTTTGCACTGAGCTGCTTTAAGAACTGTGGCCCAAGTAATATTAGGTTCCTCTGTCATACTGCTGCCATAATTACACACCTACTGTGTGCCAGGCCCTTTCATACAATACCACATCCTGTCAACAATGCCAGGAGATAGGCAATATCACTCCCATTTTACACATGGGGAAAACTGAGCACAGAGAGCTTCATTAACCTGCCCAGGGACGCAGCCAGGAATCCAGTCAACCTAACTCCAGATTCAGGTAGAACATGAGTAAAAGGCAGATGACTAGGAGACCTGGGTTTTTCTAGGCATTCTGGCACTAATTCAGTGTGACTTCTCTTATGCAAGGCCCTCTCTTTCTCCAGGGCTTAGTATATCAGGAGAGAAATGGAGATGACGACTGTGCCTACTTCCCAGGGCAGAAAGATGATGTGAGGCTGGGTCTACAGGTCAGTCTCTCCTCCTAGAGAAATCTGAGTCACACTTATATCCCTTCTCTCCTAGGTTACATGCATTGACTCACAGAAACTGAGTTATCTGTGCCCTCTGTGACCCTGGCAGATCTCTCCCCAAAACAAATCTCCCATTTCCTATGGCACTTGGGCAACAGCATCAGAATTTGGGTCCTTTGATTTCCATTCTCTGTGTATACCCTGACCATCTGCCCAGTTTCTCTTTCCCACACCCAGGCTTTCGGCGCCCTGCTCCCTCTCTCCTCCTCCATTCACTCTTGTTCAGGAAAAGCAACACTCCATCAGTCAGTTAGAGTCAAGTATGGATGAGTTTAAGTTGCTAGCATGCTCTTCCCAAAATATGGGAATTCTAGGACTCTGGACAGTTACTAATTTGGGTTAATATCCCCCTCCCTCTCCCAAGGCAGAAAGGCTAGACCTGACCAGCGCATCTGGAATTCCATATTTTTATACTTTTAATGGTTCCCCCCACCCCCCATATCCTGAGGTAGGGGAGAAGGTTTATGTGAGCCCACTAATTAACCAAGAACAGAAGCCTTTTTATTTCATAAATAAAAAGCATAGATACACTGTATGAGTAGAAATGCAGAGTGTTCCCTGAGGAGTTTTAAATACTTTTAAAAATAATCTCCCTAGGGTTTGGGCAGGTGAGCCCTGAGGAACTTTTCCATGGAAGACCTGGGGGTGGGGAATGGAGGCTGTTGTCCCTCAGAAGGGAGGTTCCTTGGACTCTGAGCCATGCCCTTTTGCAGCACAGCCTCCAATTCATGGTGACCCCCTGTGTGATCATTCTTGACCCCAGCTGAACCAGCTCTTCCCCACATGGGCTTCGTTGTTGAGCCTCTAGAGAAGAATGAATGACAGCTGTCCTCAGAGTTAGTGGATCTGGGTTCTGGTGTGGTCAGATGGGGCTGAGGTGTTGGGGAAATCACTGGCACTCTAGACTTTCCTCCATCTGAAGAAGATACAGGTGACATGAGCCCTGAGGTCTCCTCTTGCTCCACAGCACTATACCGCAGTTCAGAGGCTGTTCTGGGGGCTGAAGGCAGACCCAGAGCTCACCTGAGGGTGCCCAGGACTTTGTCCTGCAGGCTTAATTCTTCAAATCACTTTGAACATGGGCTGCTATTCATCCTCAGGACAACATAATATTGCCTCTAGGATTATAATTATTTCACAGACTCAGAAACGGAGGCTCAGTGTTTGATCTGACATGAAGACCTCCTGGAAAAAAATCAGGCAGAAGTGACACACATCTTTCTACAAATGTGGGAATTGAGGTCTGAAGACATTCAACAACACTGCCACGGTCTTATAGCCTGGCTCACCCTGGGTAAAAATGCCTGCGAAGCACAAAGTGCCAGCCAAGTCACCATGATAGGTTGCCACCCTTGCCAGGCTCAGTCTACCTGGCTGAAACAGAGGCTAACTGGAGGACCATGGTAGTGCGGACATACTAGGAGGAAAGGAGTCAATTTTAAAAACAGGCCAGAATCAAACCCAGCTCCTCTTCCTCCCTGAGCGCAGTGACTTGCATGGAGCCATCTGGTGGCCAGATCTTATCACTGCAAGAGCTCCAGAGGCGCTCCCCGCTTTCTGGTCAGATTTCTGATTTTCCAAAAACAATCTGTAAGAGAGTCATGAGCCCAGATCATGAGGTGGCTAGAAGAATTCAGAAGTTGGTTTGGCCTCTGGAGCAGCTTCCACTCCAGCCCTGACACAGGGAAGACTCCTTCCTATCTGGTATCCAGGGATCCACAGTGCTGGGCTGCTTTGGATGATCTTGCATCCCACCCCACAGGTCCCTGTGCCCACAGCACAAAGAGGAAACTGAGGCCCAAAAACGTCCAACCCCTGGCTGCAATCACACAGTAAACAGAGAAGAGGATAGGGTCCAGGATTAATTTTGTGCTTAGTGTGTGTAGGAAAGCCTAGCTTGCTGTGTTACCTTGTATAAATTATATACCTTTCCTGGGTCTTAGTTTCTTCAGTAGGAAAGGAGAGACATTATGCTGATTGAATGACATAATGTGTACAATTTACATTGCACATGATAAAGATCTGTGCTTATCGTTATTATTCCAACAGTTATTTCTAAATTTACCTCTCATCATCCTCTCCAACGTGAGGGGCCCTCAAAGCACCTCTTCATAGAAGAGGATGAGGGACTTGAGCATCCTGAAATAAACTTAGAAAATGGTCAGTCAGGAACTTAAACACTGGCTGTTTCAGCAAAAGCACATTGTAGGCATATGGGGCATGGAGGTGCATGGCGGTGTGACGATGAGAACCTACTTTCAGATGGTTCCAAAAAAATAAAATGAGACAACAATGAAGCAAAGTAGAGCAAAATGTAAAAAAAAAAAAAAAAATTATATAGTAGACTACAGGTTATACAGTTCTCAGTTCTATTTTTGCAGCATCCATAAATTTGAAATTACATTTAAAAATGTTTTAAAGCCCAGGCATTTAAAAATTCTACCTTGTTTTCTCTATATCCTGGGGAGCAGATAAAAACCCTCAAAACTCTCAAAAGTTCTGAGGTCCAGACCAGCAGCCCAGTTCCCAAGTCCTGCAATCCCACCATGGAAATCCAGAGGTGCCCCAGCCCACCTAGCAGTCAGCACGACCCAGGTCCCCCAAACCTTCTTGGGGCCTCTCCTCAACCTGTTTCCCAACCCTCCCCAACCCCCACTTCATTCCCGCCCAGGTCCCGGTCAGGCTGTGGTGCAAGGCTGAGGTGGGGTTTATTTATAAGTTCCCGCTGATTATGAATCACTGGAGGAACTGCCCGCAGACTGGAGACAAAAGTCTGGGGCCGCCTGACTGGGAGGAAACACTCTTTACATTCGACTTTCCCCTTGGCACAGGTCTCCCTGAGCCTGGCCTGGCCAGGCTCTGCCAGTCCCTTCTGTTCTCAGAGGCAGAAGAGCATTTGCCGCCAAGTCTTGTCGGCCTGGCCTGTCCGCCTTGCTGAGTAAACAAGACCCGGGGCTGGCAGCCCAGCCCCAAACTGGAAATGAGCCTGCCTTCCGCAGCCCGGCCACTTCCTTCTTATATCCGGAAACTCCTTAGAGTTCAGATGAGGGCGGGTGGACAAGAGTGAGGAGAGCTGGGCTTTGCTCTACTATGGTCTTCCTCATCATCCTTGATGGAGGATCAATGGATAAACGGAGGAGCAGAAAGAGGTCTCTTTTAGGCAGCCATCAAATCCCAGTATATATGACCCCTCCTCTGGGAAAGAACCCCGCAGCTCTGGCTCTACCCTTTTTGTAGTTCATAGTTTAGTTACATTCACTCAACATGCACTGAGTACCCAGTAGGTACCAGGCTCTGTGCAAGGTACCTGTGAGGCAGAAGGGCATGGAGATATCTTATTCATGTCATCATCTTTTTCACTCAATTCTAGGCCTCTTAAGGAAAGAGTTAATGTGACTCACCTGATCCTACGGTGCCTAGCATGGCACCTGCATGCAGTAGATGCTTAAGAATTTCTGTGGGATTAAACCGTGTTAAACTTGGGCACACAAACTAGAAGGAGCCTCCGGTTCAGACCACTTCCTTTTTGAGCCCTTGTCCCTATCCTGCTTTGTCATTCTGTAACCTGATTCCGTATTCCTTCTTGGAGCAAATTGGTTTCCCTTTATGAACATCTAAACCAGAGTTCCCATCTGAGGAACTAATAATATAGGTGATTTGACTTTTGGAGGTGCTAGAAGCCCTCCCCCCAATCTCACCCTGAAACAGCTTCCATGCTGCTCTGAGGTGTCACCAACATTGAGACATTCCTCAGGGTTGAGCACTGCCCTTCCCAAGGTCAGGTCACCCATCTGACTGTGGATCGCTCCTCCAGGGGGTAGCATTTCCCAGTGAATGATGGGTGTTCACACTGGCCGGTTGGCATTGATTCCTATTTTTACAGATGAAGAAATTTTGACTCAGAGAGGTGACACATTTGATCGAGGCTGCTGCAGGGGAGGGTCTGGTTCTGAGCTCAGCTCTCTGCAGAGAGTGCTCAGGAATCTTCACCAATCATTCCCCTTTCTTTGGATGCCATCTTAAAGTAGGCGGACAACTTGGGAGAGCTATTTCTTCTCAGAGGGCGGGAAGAATGAAAGTCAATTCCAAAAGCTTGCTGACCAGCCCTTCTAGGCTGTACCCAGTGCAATCTTCCCATCGTTCCATTTACCAATATCCCCATTTAACACATGGCAAAATTGAGGATTGGAGAGACTGTGATGGGTTCATGGTTATCAAACTACTGACGACAGCACAGGAACATATACCATACCCCAGCACTGACTAGACAGTGGGGTTGGTGCAGACCCGTAGAAAAGTCAGCCTGCTGACCAGTGGCTGCTGGGCAGAATGGTAGCAATCTTAAGACTGTCAGCCTGGCAAGGCTCTGGAAACTGCAGCCAGAGATTTTTAGGGTAGACAGGGTGCGGACTGTCTTACAGTGAAGGGCACAGGAGAGGGACAGACATCTAAAGGGCTCAAGGCTTTTGCAACAGCTCTGCATAGCTGTACAACTCAAAGACTTCTTCTCTTTGCTAATGGGAAATTGCCTCCCACTGCCTGGCTCTGGAAGCCTCTCCAGACAAGGTAGCGTTACCAGCAGAGGCTTAGATATCACTCACTAGCTTAGGGACCTTAGGTAAATCCACATAGAAGTCAGTTTCCTCAACTAATTAAACTAATCAATCAGTTTAATAAAGTGGCAGGATACAAAATCAACACTCAAAAATCAGTAGCCTTCCTATACACAAACAATCAATCTGAAGAAGAAGAAATCAAAAAAACCATCCCTTTTAGTATTGAAACAAAAAAAAAAAATCAAATACTTGGGAATTAACCTAACAAAAGAGGTAAAGGAGCTATACAAAGAAAACTATAAAACACTGTTAAAAGAAATAGAAGACACAAAGAAATGGAAAGACATTCCCTGCTCATGGATTGGAAGAACATTATCAAAA